CAAGAAAAGCTCCTACATAGGAGGATTCAAACTATTAAATATGCCTCTATTCTAAAGGAGGAAAATTGAGTCTACAGTTTACTCAATGACGATATCCGTGCCTCCTGCTTGATTGGGTGGTGCGTTGCGGAATGAAAACATCTTTGCATCCAGCAATTTCTGGACCTTACTTTTCAAAACAACGCAGTCATTGACGGAATGTCCCATTTCGCCTAAATGATAGTCACATGCCTCGGAGGGATCGTAGTTGGGGAAACGCTCAGGATTTTCACGCTTTGGCTCTTTAGCAAGCAATCTCTTTTCCAGGAGAATAGGCAGGATCTGAGACATAGGCAAAGGGAGTGGCGTGAACTATTTTTTGTTATTTCGCATTTGGGGCGGCTTGCGGCCTGAGGCCGGTTGCTGTCCACTGCTCATCTGAATCATTGGGGAAGGACAAACGGTTTGGGTGTATGCAATATCCGCATCTGTCAGGGGTTCTTTCTCCTTCTTCATGCCGAGTTTCTTGCTTGTGGAAGTGGGGTCTGTAAACCACCCCTCACGCAATCCCATTTCGATTCGTTCACCCACAGGAACAAGACGATTAAGGGATTTAGCAGTGGCACCAACCAGGCGGTGTCTGTATTCATATGGAAGAGACTTTATGAACAACTTCACTTGTTCATGATCAGTGAGTTGTGGGGTAACCTGGGCGGCCAAGTTTCTCCATCTGGTGGCATACTCTTTGAAGGACTCACTCTTCTTCTTCTCAGCGCGTTCCAGATCGTCACGAGTAAAGGTGACGTCAAGGTTGAATTGATAATGCTTGAGGAATGCATCAGCGGCATCATCCCAAGACTTAAAAGTATCCACATCTTTCGACATATACCATGTCAGGGCTGGCCCCGTCAAACTCGCTTGGAAGGTTTGAATCATGAGGGGTTCATTGTCAACGTACTGGGTCATCCGCACATGATACATGTGCAAATGATGTCTGGGGCATGAGGTACCGTCATACTTCTCGAATTCCGGCATCTTGAACTTTTCTGGTACTTTGACCCATTTGTATATAGACAGGTCAAGTGGGACAAGCGTTCTGCGGGCCTTGTAGTGCTTTCAAGATCTCCTCGACCTTTGCAAGGCGTTTGTCCTGTTACATCATCCGTACGGCTTCAAGTTCGAGGCTTCGACGGCAAGGGAAGCGGATCGTCCTCTAGCGGGGCATGTTGCTATCGATGGCGGAGGTTTTGTCTTTTCCAGTAGACGGTGGTGGTAACACCACTTCAACTGCTGCAGGCGTAGGTGTGAGCTTGCCATGAATGGATTCCACCTGCTTTGTGAGATTTTGGATCGCATTGATGACCATTTTCATCTCATCTTCCATGTTATTGAGGCGGACATTTTCTTCGGCCATTTTTTGTAACTACCTGCGAAAACGCGTATATGAATGAGTATAATGCCCAATAAAGAATCATTCTATGACTTAGTCATATTATTATTGCATATTTTCTTTATTTGCAAAGAAAAAATAAGCAAAAAGGGTTTTTATTAATATTAACATTACAGGCGGCGTCCCCGGGGTTCGAACCCCGGTCGCCTCGGACCGTTACTGCTCATCCCCGGATACCACTGGGCCGAAGGCCGCGGTGGTGTCATTAAGGGGCAAAAAATTTCATTTAAAGCATAAAAAAAATGGCCCGAGTTATATTAACATTTGTACAACCTAAAAACATTTTTACAGGAGATAACCAAAATCCCCGAACATAATTACGGGGAAATATAAAAGACAGGGTTTTTAACAAAAGGGCGCCATTCCCGGATACTTATTTTATAAATGATGGGGAAATCACGATCTCTCGGAGGCGCTTATTTTTACGGACAAGCTCCGCAATAAGCGTATCCCTGGTATATAGACTGCAATCAACAGGTGGCCTAACAGTAACAAATCAATTGAATAAGTAGGCCGTATATATAAAAAAATGAGAAGGGATAGAATATATACCTTTCCTTGAACCATGGCAATCACAACAACATGCACATGAGGAGTGAGGTTCGATTTCTATCTAGACTGGCTCAGCAACATGAAGTTAAAAGGGTGCCTGACCGTCGCAGTCTCGCGTTGGTGTCAAGTCCTTTTAACCTCGGCCAAATCGAAAGGAATATCTTATAGTCACGCGAAGAGCGGCTAAAGATACTTCTTTACGATTTTTTAGAAATAAATTTCGGGGAAAAGAAAGGCAACCTCTACATCGCGGGCTCGCGTTCGAGGTCGTATCTTTCTTAACACCATCCTAAGATGCCCTATCGCGGCCCAGGTCCGGCAGCGTGGTTGTGTGTGCAGCGGTGTAGTGCTAAATCATTAAAGCATGCACAACAAATTATAAACAATCAATTCGAACCTGCAAGAACAAATAACACCTTAATGTCAGTATCGTACCTGGAGTCCTTGCTGCCAAACAAAAATCATTTTTGAACAGGATAAAATTTTTGGCCTAAGTCCACTTTAAAAAATGCAAGTCCCCAGCGGAGTCGCCAGTCTATCGCGACCGAACTCCCGAGCCCCTTTTTTATCGAACATGCAAAAAGAAGGGGGGCTCGCCTGGTACGTGCTAAGTGTAGGTTCGGGACTTAACTCGGGCTCTCCCAAGCCCATACCATATCGCGACTTAGGGTTTAAGTTTTTAACATGCAAGTGGTTTATATCGAGGAGTCGCCACTAATCGATTTGGGGTGGGTCGATTAGAAACCCAAATAGGGTGATGGGAGAATCACCCTATTTCTACGAACCAGAGATTAAATGAGTTCGGAGACTTGGTTACACTAGTTGGATAACTAATGCCCTTTCGGTACCATTTTACCCTGTTCATTTCTGAAAATATTTGTCAGGCAATTTGAATTGATTTTAGGACCTTTCTCCTAACATGTGAGGTGATCAAGCGAGTGCATAATCAGAAACGATTAGCAGTCAGGAACACAACAATTCATGCAGTCTAAGGTTCTAACCTTAACTAAGTCAGATGACATTCAAAACACAACAGCTCATGCAATTGTATTGAAAAACATGCATAATAATACAGCGATAATAAAAACTAACATGCAAAATACTACCGCGCAACCTCAGGCTTGTCTAATTTAAACAAGACAAAAAACATGCATAATAATACAATAAATTAAAACACTTAGATATAACATAAAAAAAAATTTTAATTAATTTTTTTTTAAATTAAGAAAATATGCTCTAATAGGCCCTATTAATGCACATATGCCTAATGTCTATATGCAATGCATTTAAATAGAAATATTTTTTTGTTTTAGGAATTAAAGAAAATTAATTCCTAAATTTTGTGTAATTAATTTTTGGCAAATTAAAAATAGGTGTCAACACCAATGACCAGAAGATCCATTACTGGATTTTGCATCAAGCTTGGAAAATCACTGATTTCATGGAAGACAAAGAAACAGACAACCGTTTCATTGTCATCAGCTGAATCTGAGTATCGAGCTATGGCAAAGATAGTCTATGAAATAATTTGGATACGAGGTCTACTCTCAGATCTTGGGGCCCAAATTGATGGGCCAAGCGAACTATTTTGTGATAATGATGCCGCTCTCAAATTAGCGGCAAATCCGGTCTTTCATGAGAGAACGAAACATATAGAAGTAGATTGTCATTTCACTTGAGATAAGATTCGAGAATGGATTATTCTAACAAGAGGAATTGGAACTGTAGAACAACTTGCAGACATCTTCACCAAACCATTGTGTCAAAGACAACACACATACCTATTGAGTAAAGCTAGGCGTCCTTGATATATACAAGCCACCAGCTTGAGGGGGAGTGTTGGAGATGCGATTTGATACTATTGAAGATTTGGATGATCCTAATTGAGGACTCGATTGATTTAGTCAATCCGTGATTAGTTTAGTAAAATGGGAAATTGTAATCTTGTATATTATTTCCTGTTTTTTTCTTCTTTCTAGCATTATAAATAGACCAATGTCCATGTATTCTTTTCAGATCAATACAATACAAAATTTCCTCCATTTTCTTTGTTTTCTGTCAAAAATACCTCCATTTATAATCTCTGCGCACCGACTCCTTGCTGGATATTTTCCTTCAATCAAATATTCTCATTGATATTAACCGATTCTTCCTTAGTCCACTTTCCTCAAGATCCACCGCTTCTTTATTCTTTTCCTTTTGTTTCTTTCGATATTTCCTCTTTGTTGGCCGAAGTGTATACACCAATATATGCTCATGATCAAAATAATATTCCCATCTCTCGCACACGAGCTTGGTGATTGCTTAAGCTTCCAAAGTTTTGGTAACTTAGTAGCTTAGTTGATTTTTCTAAATTGAGCACTCCACGTGTATTTTATACGTGTAATTTGGCCAACATGTGCGAAGTGCGAGGCAATTTTCAGCCATGGGCTTGGTTCAATCAATTCAATTAAGCTCAGAATCATTTGCTCGAGTCCATCTACCGTCGGTCCGATAGATATGCAAACTATATGGGCCTAAATTATATGCTATGCGATTTTGATATTTTTGTTTAGGGGTTAAAATTTAATCCCTAATTTTCTATGCAATTAATCACTAAATGATGTGCCAAAATTTAGATGTCAACATCCCCAAGCTGGAGTTGCCCCCAGAGACTGTAAGGACCATAGTCTGCCACCTCGTCGCGAGCCATTCCAGATGCACATGGGGCAGTCCTATTCCTTGAGAAACACGTCACACATGCCGTGGTTGTTGCAGTCGGCGTCGGCGAGTTTGAGAATGCCATAGCTATGTTGATTCTCAGTCGCAGCTGATGGCATGACCTAGGAAATGGTACTTACATGGAAAGCTCGGGTTGTTGTGAATCATCGTATTCGGACGGCTAGCTTCTATCTTTTTCTGTTTTCATCCTGATTCCGGATTAAGACCCCAGATCAGGAATTAAATTGGTTTGCAGACGTACAATTCCATTTCTAAACCAAATTGTCATTCCATACGTAGTCAAAATGACTCTAAATGATTAGACCCAAATTGAATCATTTCATCTTGTATAGTGCTAAATCATTCCAAAACTCGTACCAGCATAGCTCACATTTGCTCTCCTTCTCGTTCTCCCCCACTCTTTGACATCTTCACTCTCTCCAATCTCAGTGCAATAACTATAATGCGGTTTTAGAAGCTCCTACCAATAAACAGAACGAAAAATACAATAGAACATAGCTTTTGGGTTTAAACGGACATAGCCTCTCTGCACTACTCATCCAAATCTTGATCAAAAGGTCGACACTACCGTCCGATCAAAGAACAAGCCGGAAGGTCCTTCTTTCGGCATTAAAGCCAACATAACGGGGCCTCTCGCGCCTTCCTCAACTGGCAAAAACCCCGTGTTGTGGTTTAGGTCGGTCTTGACGAAACCGGGGTGAACGGCATTTATGGCTATACCGGGGTATTTCTGTGCCAAAACTCTTGTGTAAGCATTGAGAGTTGCCTTGGAGACGATGTAAGAGGATACAATGATCGGCCAGCCTCCAGTTTCCAACCTATCCTCCTTCATATCCTCTAGAAATCTCACTACCAAGCCGTCCACTTTCTCTTCCGTGAGGCTATCGATGTCATTGAACTGCTCTTTGATATTCTCTCCAGGGATGTACTAATTCAAGAAGGATAAGATGAACAAAACTTTAATGAGAGAATGTCCAAAGTTACTAATACTTTTAGAGGAATTAATGAGCATGCATGGATTATTCAATTTGTTAGGGAAATAATTGGAAAGTTGTTAAATATTAGCGCACTTTATAAACTGTTGGTTATTTTACATTCCTTGTGTTCGATACTTCATATCTGCCTCACTTAATTTTTTTCTTTCACGTCATGAGTTTCCATCGATCTCCTTTGTCATCGCTTTAAACAACCAGATGATACAATAAGTTGATTATGTGTGGTTTTTCTCGATCGACAACAAGAAAAAATTCGTTTGTGTATTACACTAATTAAGTACATACCTAAATTCGACCAAAAGGAAAAAGTACATACCTGAAGCTGGCCAAGGCCAGAGGAGACATTGACTACTTTTGCCGAATTTGACTGTTGAAGAAGAGGTAGAAGAGCAGCAGTTACTTGTTTGATTCCATAGTAGTTAGTCCTCAGACATTTTTCTGCTAATTCATAGGTCTCCTCAATGAACTCTTTCGATGATTTGGCTTGCGGACCTGTAATCTGCAATAAGGTTACATGAAAAAGACAATAGTGTTAACCAGTTTAAGTCTCTTACTTTCCATGAATAAAAGGAAAAAGGGAAAAATACTGGATGCCCCAAACATCATGCTAGAAGAAATATTTTCATGTCAAGAAACGAATTGATTAACGTTCAAACTAACGTTTTGGAGTTTGTACGTTAATGATTTCCGATCAAAAGCTAAGCTATTATCTAATGGTGGGCAAATGTGTATTAAGGTTAGTATCTAGGAAAGTAAAAAGGTGGCGTGAGATACGCATGAACTTTGTACATGTTCTATAAATCACCTCACAAAAATAACATGAAAAATGTATTTCATAGTAGTATTGCCGACTTGAGAAAACTCACTTTATCTCTTGTCAAAACCAAGTCTTTATTCATGACTGCTCCGGCTACGCCTGCATTATTCACCTGCAAGGCCACTTTGTGGCTCTTTTATCAATCTATTTGCAACATAATACATAACAAGTGACAAATGAATAGATCATACCAAAATATCGAGTTTTCCGAACCGAGCCTTGACGAAATCCGCCAGAGAATGAATGCTGGTCCCGTCTACCACGTCAAGCGGATGAAAGACCACGTTGGAGATCCCACTACTCGCGAGCTTCTCGATAGCCTCATTCCCTCTATTCACATCTCTTGCGGTCAATACAACAAAGACTCCATTCGAAGCTAGTTGCTTGCATATCTCGAATCCGATCCCTTTATTCGCACCCGTAACGACCGCAACCCTACAGAAATGAGCATAAAGATGAGAACAAGACACAAGGGTTAGCATTTTCCCTGAAATAGATTGTATCGAACTGGTTTCGATAATTTTTCAGGGGTAGTGGAAGCGAGTGGTACCTGTCCATCTGATGAAGAGCTTGAAATGTTAAAATCCGCCCTTTTTTTTCCTTCTACAAGATTTTGCAAGGTGGTGGCTCTTCTGCTGTGGCTTGTTGAGTGCATATTTATAGGCGAAAACATCATTTTTCTCTATCCAGAAGAACAAAAGGAAAGAGAGAAAACGTCAGCCAGTGCGTCGTTGGTTTATATTTGGTCGTTGGTCGTGCAAGAACGTATGCAGTGACGTATCCTCGCCTTTCTTATCTAAGCGTTGATGACTTTCTTTCAAGGAGCAAATGGCAAAATCGGCCTTTGAAGTGTAATAGTATTATAGGACAAGGTAATGCTCTCTCATTAGTGCTCTTGAATATCATAAGTTATCCCTCATACATAGCTTTCCATGTCAAGTAGTTGACTAGTGGCTATTTATTTGGGAAAAGTGCCAAAAAAGTCCTAAACCTTTTGCATTAGTGTCAATTTAGTCCTAAACATTTTTTTGGTGCCAATTCAGTCCTAAACCTTTGCATTGGTGCCAATTTAGTCCTAAACCTTTTTTTGGTGCCAATTAAGTCCTAAACCTTTTAAATTTGTGTCAATTCAGTCCTAAACCTTTTGTTTTGGTGCCAATTTAGTCCTTCCGGCCAATTTTGACCGGAATTTGCCGACGTGGATGCCAGCCGGCCGGCGGCCGTTCACCGGCGTCGACGTGGACAACTTTAATAATATTTTAATATTTTTTTGAATTTTTATTTTTTTTCCTTTTTTTCCTTTTTTTTCCACTTTTTTTTTTGTCTCTCCCCCTTCCTCTGGCCGGTCGCCGTGGCCGGCGAGGTCGAGCTTGCCGGTCTCTGGCCTCTGCCCGGTCACCGGACCAGCGACCGGCCAGAGGAAGGAGGGAAAGACCAAAAAAAAAAGAAAAAAAAGGAAAAAAAAATACTCAAAAAATATTTTAATATTATTAATGTTGTCCACGTCGACGCCACGTCGGTGCCGGTGACCGGCCGGCCGGCGTCCATGACGGCAAATTCCGATCAACATTGGCCGGAAGGACCAAATTGGCACAAAAACAAAAGGTTTAGGACTGAATTGGCACCAATTTAAAAGGTTTATGACTTAATTGGCACAAAAAAAAGGTTTAGGACTAAATTGGCACCAATGCAAAAGGTTTAGGACTGAATTAGCACAAAAAAAAGGTTTAGAGCTAAATTGGCACCTATTTATTTCCTCTCGCCTCAAGGTGAATCACTAAGGGAAAGTTAATGGATTACTAAGCAGGCACAACTGGTTACTCATCAAAGAGATGGTGCCATCACCTAATGTGCACTCTCCTAAGTCCATTCCAATCGCAACTTGAGGTTTAAATTGAATTGTTTTAAACATTCAATTTTATTTATTTAGAGTTGTCACTAATCTGTTATGGGTCGAGTCAACACCCAAGTTGTTGAGAAAAATCCTGAGGATTTTAATAATAACAAAACTATCTCTTGCGATTTGAGGTTTGATAGACGCGAGTGTTGTTTCTGTCTAGGTGATTATTGATGACTCAACACCATTAAAACGGCAAAAGGACACCAGAAGTGCCATAAGTTGTGTACGGAGGACACTTTAGTGCCATAACTTTTTTTTCGGATCACTTTGGTGCCAAATCGGAGGAAAATAGATCACTTTAGTGACTCCGGCCAAAATTCCGACCAAAAAACTGATGTGGCATTTATATTTTAAAAAAATGATCTGACTTGTACACGTGGAAATTATGTGGCTTTTTTTCGAATTTTTTAATCTTTTTAATCTTTTTTTTTCCTAACTTTTTCCCGATCGCCGGTCCGGCGACCGGCCAAATGGGAGGGCCGGCGAGGCCGACCTCGCGGGCCTCTGGCGAAGCTCGCCCAGCAAAGGCGAGGCCGACCTCGCCGTCGCACGGGTCGAGGCGACGGCGAGGTCGGCCTCGCCTTTGCCGAGCGACGGCAAGGTCGGCCTCGCCGGATCCGGCGAAGCTTGCCTGCGGCCACCGGCGAGCCCGCCAGTCTGGCGAGGCCGACCTCGCTGCGTTGGGCGAGGCTGCCTCGCGCATGATCGGGCGAGGGTCGCCTTTGCACGGGTAGGGCTGGCGAGGGCAGCCCTCGCCCGACGCCGGCGAGGGCCGCCCTCGCCGGATCTGGCGAGGCCGGCCCTCGCCGGCGTCAGACGAGTGCTGTCCTCGCTCGCCCAGGCGAGGGCGACCCTCGCCTGAGTCGGGCGACCCTCGCCTGAGTCGGGCGAGTGCTGTCCTCGCTCGCCCAAGCGAGGGCGACCCTCGCCTGAGTCGAGCGAGGGCTGTCCTCGCTCGACTCAAGCGAGGGTTGCCCTCGCCCGACGCCGGCGAGGGCAGCCCTCGCCTGAGTCGAGGGAGGGCTGTCCTTGCCTGCGTCGGGAGAGGGTGGCCTCGCTGGCTTCCTCCTCTGGCCGGTCATCGGTCCGGCAACCGGCCAGAGGTTGAAGAAGAAGAAAAAATTAAAAAATCTTATTTTTCTAAAAAAGTACACGCCAGCGGACTAAACGGCGTCGTTTTTGGTTTTTAATGCTGACTGGACCTCTCCGGCGAGCCATGTCAGCGCCACATAGGATTTCTGGCAAGCCATGTCAGTATTGGCACTAAAATGATCGTTTTTCAAAAAAGTTTGAACCAAAGTGATCCGAAAAAAAGTTATGGCACGAAAGTGACATCCGTACACAAGTTATGACACTAATAGTGTCCTTTTGCCCCATTAAAACTATCCTTGACGCCAAGTGAAAGAACTTGAAAGACCTGGAAGGACCTCAAGGGTGAACAAGTCAAAGAGAACAAGTAGTTCGTGAGGACTTGGAGAAACCAATAGGTGAACAGTTCAAATGAAGTTTAATTCACACGCATGCTCGGGAAAACTCGATGGAATTTGATAAACACAACTGTCAACTGGACCGCTAGGCCAAAAACTAAGAATCGTTGATAGAAGCTACGGCTTATATCAAACTGAGATGAGCACTTCTGGACTAGTGACATTATGAAGACCCAGACTTTCTTTAATCATTATGATGCATTCAAAGAAATCTGATAGCCAATCACAAGTCTAGAATTATGGATTTATTTGCTTAAAAGAGAATCCAATCGCTCCATGTCAGTCACAGAGAGATGAGTAAAGATACGATGTGACGCAACTACAAACACGCGCGCAACCATATGAATGAATTGGCCACGCAACAAATCACGCATCGCATCGCGTGACCCGGCAGGCGCGAGAATGTGAAGGGCCCCCTACTCTCGGCTGTACCACTCCCCCACCACCTCCTCCTTCCTTCGTCTCTCTGTCTCTGTCTGTCTCTCTGGGGCTCCACCTCGCAACGGTAACTGCTTTCTGTTGATTGCCTCATACTGTTTTCTGTTGCAGGCCAAACTTCGCATTGGGGATGTTGTCAAATGTTGTATTAAGAAGATCACATAGTTTGGTATTTTCGTGGAGGTAGGTTAATATGATTATTCTAGCTCGATAGTGATCTCACTCAACATTCTATGTCGGTGATATCCGTACTTAAACCAAGCGACTTTATGGAACAAAATCAGATCTCTCTGCCATTGGGATTATTGGGTGCTCTTATCATATTATATGAGGCTCCTCTAGCAAATTGAGAGTTGTAACAAAGAGGTGGATGTGCTAATTATAGTGGAATCTTCTGCTTGATGTAGCCCTAATTTAAGGGTGAATTAGAATAAACCTTATGCCTCGATTTCTCTTTCTCATTTTTACACTCTATTTCGTTGTGTTTATCCACCTAATACTAGCACTTTTGGCTTTCTGACTTCTTAAGAAGATCAATTTGAAATCAGGTTGTGGAGGCCAAAGTTCATCAACTGGATTTCGCACTTGAACGCATTTTCTTGTCACCGAAGGAAATCGTAGTACTTTAGTTCAAGATTTAGGTGTAAAATGCGAAAACTCTTGTATTGGTTCATCATGACAATCTTTGCTTTCTATGGCAGCCCGATCCGCTGATTGAGGCCTTGGAGTCAGTTAGTGATGGCAATTCGTTCACCTGGAAGCTACGCAAGCAGAATCCGAGGTTCCTGCAATCATCTTACAATTGGAACCTATTATCGCTCATTGAACGAAGTGGCTCATGAGCAATGGTTGGTGCGGCTTATAGATGTTTATAGAGTAGCGATTCTAAACAACTCAGAAACAGGATAATGACAGCAAGTAGTTTTTCTGTCTGTGAAGTTAATTGCATAAAAATTACGTGGTTTACTTGATTCCATCTTTAAAATGTTGAAAAAAGCGTAGACTCACATGATGCTTAGCATAGTTGATTGCCTTTCCCATTTTTCATCCCTCAGCATAGATGGTGTTTGTTTTATTCTTGCGAACATGCAATTAGACAAATTGAAAATTGTGTCTACATAGCTTGAGGGTTTGAATGGACATAGCCTCTCTGCACTACTCATCCAAATCTTGATCAAAAGGTCGACACTACCGTCCGATCAAAGAACAAGCCGGAAGGTCCTTCTTTCGGCATTAAAGCCACCATAACGGGGCCTCTCGCACCTTCCTCAACTGGCAAAATCCCCGAGTTGTGGTTTAGGTTGGTCTTGACAAAACCGGGGGTCACGGCATTGATGGTGATATCGGGGTATTTCTTTGCCAAAACTCTAGTGTAAGCATTGAGAGTTGCCTTGGAGACGATGTAAGCGGAATAAATGATCGGCCAGCCTCCAGTTTCCAACCTATCCTCCTTCATATCCTCCAGAAATCTCACTACCAAACCGTCCACTTTCTCTTCCGTGAGGCTATCGACGTCATTGAGCTCCTCTTTGATATTCTCGCCAGGGATGAACTAATATAAGAAGGAGAAGATGAACAAATCTTTCATGAGATACTATGCAAGTAACTAATAATTTTAGAGGAATTAAAGAGCATGCGTGGATTATTCAATTTGTTAGGCATATAATTGGAAAGTTGTTAAATATTAGCGCACTTTATAAATTGTTGGTTATTTTACATTCTTCGTGTTCGATACTTTGAATCTGTCTCACTTAATTTCTGTCATTCACATCATAAGTTTCAATCGATCTCCTTTTTCATTGCCTTAAACAACCAGATGATATAATAAGTAAATTATGTGTGGTTTTTCTCGATCGACAACATGAAAAAATTCGTTTGCGTATTACACTAATTAAGTACGTACCTGAAGCTGGCCAAGGGAAGAGGAGACATTGACTACTTTTGCCGAATTTGATTGTTGAAGAAGAGGTAGAAGAGCAGAAGTTACTTGTTTGACTCCATAGTAGTTAGTCCTCAGACATTTTTCTGCTAATTCATAGGTCTCCTCAATGAACTCTTTTGTCGATTTGGCCTGCGGACCTGTAATCTGCAATAAGGTTACATGACAAAAACGACGTTGTTAACCAGTTTAAACCTCTTACTTTCCATGAATAAAAGAAATAAAAGGAAAAATAATGGATGCCCAAAACATCATGCAAGGAGCATTTTCATGTCAAGAAACAAATTGGTTAACGTTCAAACTAACATTTTCGAGTTTGCACGTTAATAATTCCGATCAAAAGCTAAGCTATTATCTAATGGTGGGCGAATGTGTATTTAGGCAAGTATCTAGGAAAGTAAAAAGTGGCGTGAGATACGCATGAACGTTGCATATGTTCTATAAATCACCTCACAAAAATAACATGAAAATTGTATTTCAAGTAGTGTTGCCAACTTGAGAAAACTCACTTTATCTCTTGTCAAAACCAAGTCTTTTTTCACGATTGTAGCTCCGGTTATGCCTGCATTATTCACCTGCAAGGCCATTGTTCTTTTATGGCTCTATTCTCAATCTAGTTGAAGCATAATATAACAAGCGACCTATGCATAGATTTACCAAAATATCGAGTTTTCCGAACTAAGCCTTGACGAAATCCGCTAGCAAATTGACACTTGTCCCGTCAACCATGTCGAGCGAATTAAAGACCACTTTGGAGATCCCAATGCTTGCGAGCTTCTCGATAGCCTCATTCCCTCTATTCACATCTCTTGCAGTCAATACAACAAAGACTCCATTTGAAGCTAGTTGCTTGCATATCTAGAATCCGATCCCTTTATTCGCACCCGTAACGACTGCAACTGATGCACCTAGGGGACCGGCGGACCCGTTATGCGACTGGATGAACCGGCGGGCTTGAAGTCAAAGATGTTGGATTGAGCTCAAATTTGGTCGGCTGAAGCGAAACGGCGTGCTAATCAATACTCACTGCCATTGGCTGTGACTAATGATGGATTTTCGCGATTCGAGGTCGTTTAGATGGGTTTTTCTTTTTTTTAGTATTTTTTATGGGTTAATTTAGTAAAGGGTAGCTTCGTAATTTTACGTTTTGATGTTTACTAATCCTAGTAGGGTTAGGCTTGGGGATATATAAGCTTATTTTAGGGTTTCCTTTAAGCAGACTTTGGATATTTTGATTTGATAATCATACTTGGAGGACGAATTGTTCTTTTGTCGAATTTTCTTGTTCAGTCAATTTTTCTATCGCGTTTTCGGCATCAATTGGTATCAGAGCACAGGTTGCTTGAATCAATGGCTGAACAGAATCGCGGTCATGGACGGCGGGCTCGTGGTGGCCGGGGGCATGGAGGCGTTCCTGAAGCAGTCGACCAACCGCGTCTAAGAGATCTGTGAGACGTAGAAATTGAAGAACAGAGAAAACGAATCCAAGATTTGGAGCGACAACTTGCGGAGGCGAGATTGGGCATTCAATCCGAAGAAGAAGCAGAATCTGAGGATTCATCCAATGATGAAGAGGAGGACGTAAACCCTTTCGGGGTTCTGAACCAGGGGCGGAATCGAGGAGTATGACCTGGAAATCAGCGCTCTTCGCAAATTTTCGGGATGAAGATCGAGATTCTCGAGTTTAATGGTAAGGCTCATCCTGATGAGTTTATTGATTGGTTGCATACGGTAGAACAGATTTTTGATCTTAAAGACCTAACTGAGGGGCAAAAAGTGAAGTTAGTGGCTATTAGGCTGCGAAAACATGCTTCGCTTTGGTGGGAACACGTGAAAAAGCAACGAGCTAGAGAAGGGAAGCCGAAGGTGGATCGCTGGGAGAAGATGAAAAAGTTATTGCAAAAATTTTTTTTGCCTACCCATTATAGGCAAGAGGCGTTTATCGAGTATCATAACGTCAAGCAAGGTGATAAAACAATTGAGGAATTTACAGAAGAATTTGATCGCTTGCGGATGCGTTGTGATGTGGCGGAGGAAGACGAGCAGACGATTGCACGATATATGGCAGGGCTGCGATATGAGATCTATGATGCTGTCCAATTACAGCAGTATTGGACATATGAGGATGTGTGCAGACTAGCCCTAAAGGTGGAGGGGCAGTTTAAAAGAAAGAGCAGTAATTCTAATTGGTCAGGCAACAGTTCCAAGTGGTCAGATAAAGAATCCCAAGGAAAAGCGGGAACATCTGCAGTAAATTCGATACCGGTCACAGTTAAGGATGTGAGTTCTAAACCTGCATCCAACGAGGGGCAGAGTAGTGCTGGAACTAGCATGGGAGGAGCTGCAGGCAAGCGATGTTTTAAGTGTCAAGGACTTGGGCATTTTGCTGCTGATTGTCCGAACCGACAGTTTGTGACACTTGTAGATAATCCAACTTTTGATGAAGACCCAACTTATGATGAATCTAATGGAGAGCAAGCAGATGCGGATCCAGATTCGGAGGACATTGTCTATGCCGATTCTGGTGAGTCTTTAGTTGTGCGTCGGGTTTTAAATATTGCTGAGGTAAATGATGAATCGTGGCTCAGGCATAATATCTTTCATACTAAGTGCACTAGTGGGGGAAAGGTGTGTAGTATGATAATTGACGGGGGAAGTTGCGAGAATGTAATATCTACCACTATGGTAGAAAAGTTGGAGTTGAAAACTGTCGAACATCCTCAACCATATAAGCTGTCATGGGTTAGGAAGGGGAATGAGGTAAAAGTGAGCAGGAGATGTTTAGTGCAGTTCTCGATTGGGAAGAAATATACTGATGAAGTGTGGGGTGACGTAGTTCCAATGGATGCTTGTCATATTTTATTGGAGAGGCCGTGGCAGTTTGACAGAAAGACACAGCATGATGGTTTCAGAAATACTTATACCTTCAAGAAGGATGGCCGAACCATTACCTTAGGTCCTTCAGATTTGAGAAAGGAAGTGAAGAATAATCTGTTGTTCAGGTCAGAATTTCTAGAAGAGGCAGTGAACGCGCCTGAGGTTTTTGCCATTGTGGTGATGGAGCAGAATTCTGACAGTCCCGAAATTCCTACCCAAGTTCTGCCCTTGCTTGAGGAGTCTGCTGATATCGTACCGGAAGAGTTACCACCTGGGTTGCCGGGTGAGCACAATGTTTCTGGAACTTTTAATGTAGCAGATTTGTCAACTTACTACACTGAAGAGGAAGAAGACCCTAAGGAGATTGATGACAACAATGAAGACGAAGCAGATTCGAGGACGAATCTTTCTCTAGCAGGGGAGGATGATGCACCTAGGGGACCGGCGGACCCGTTATGCGACTGGATGAACCGGCGGGCTTGAAGTCAAAGATGTTGGATTGAGCTCAAATTTGGTCGGCTGAAGCGAAACGGCGTGCTAATCAATACTCACTGCCATTGGCTGTGATTAATGATGGATTTTCGCGATTCGAGGTCATTTAGATGGGTTTTTCTTTTTTTTAGTATTTTTTATGGGTTAATTTAGTAAAGGGTAGTTTCGTAATTTTACGTTTTGATGTTTACTAATCCTAGTAGGGTTAGGCTTGGGGATATATAAGCTTATTTTAGGGTTTCCTTTAAGCAGACTTTGGATATTTTGATTTGATAATCATACTTGGAGGACGAATTGTTCTTCTGTCGAATTTTCTTGTTTAGTCAATTTTTCTATCGCGTTTTCGGCATCAGCAACCCTACGGAAATGAACACAAAGATGAGAACAAGACACAAGGGTTAGCATTTTCCCTGAAATAGATCGTATCGAACAGGTTTCGATAATTTTTCAGGGGTAGTGGAAGGGAGTAGTACCTGTCCATTTGACGAAGAGCTTGAAATGTTAAAATCCGCCCTTTTTTTTTCCTTCTACAAGATTTTGCAAGGTGGTGGCTCTTCCGCTGTGGCTTGTTGAGTGCATATTTATAGGCGGATTACATCATTTTTCTCTATCTGGAAGAACAAAAGGACAGAGAGAAAACATCAGCCAGTGCGTCGTAGGTTTATATTTGGTCGTTGGTCGTGCAAGAACGTATGCAGTGACGTATGCAGTGACGTATGCTTCTCGCCTTTCTTATCTAAACGTTGATGACTTTCTTTCAAGGAGCAAATTAATGGCAAAATCAGCCTTTGAAGTGTATTAGTATTATAGAACAAGGTAATCTTCTCTCATTAGTGCTCTTGAATATCATAAGTTATCCCTCATATATAGCTTCCATGTCTAGTAGTTGACTAGTGGCTATTTATTTCCTGTCGTTCTTAAGCCAGTGCCTACTTTGTCTCTTCAACAATATCACGACCTTCCTCGAGGTGAATCACTAAGGGAAAGTTAATGGATTACTAAGCGCGCACAAATGATTATTCATTAAAGAGATGGTGCCATCACATAAGGTGGATTTTCCCAAATCCATACCAATCGCAACTTGATGTTTCAATTGAATTTTGTTTCAAAAATTCAATTTTATTTATTTAGAGCTGTCACTAATCGATTGTGGGTCGAGTAAACACCCAAGTTGTTGAGAAAAACCCTGAGGATTTTAATAATGACAAAACTATCTCTTGTGATCTGTGGTTTGATAGATGTGAGTGTTGTTTCTGTCTTAGTGACTATTGATGACTCAACACCATTGAAACTATCATTGACGCTAAGTGAAAGAACTTGAAAGACTAGAAGAACCTTAAGGCTGCATTTGGTAATATGGATAGGATAATTTGTTATCCTATTAGCCTATCTGATGTTTGGGGAAATCCTTTGGATTAGACAAACCCGGATACTTCCGGATAAAACGCCGGATAAAAGATATGGGGGAGGATGTACAATTCCATTTCGAGAACAAATCGTCATTCCATACGTAGTCAAAATGACTGTTAAACATTTTACCCAAATTGAATCATTTCATCTTGTACAGTGCTAAATCATTCCAAAACTCGTACCAGCATAACTTACATTTATTCTCCTTCTCGATCTCCCCAACTCTTTGACATTATCACTCTATCCAATCTCAATCTCAGTGAAACAACTATAATGCAGTTTAGAAGCTTCTACCAATAAGCAGAACGAAAAATACAATAGAACATAGCTTTTATGGTTTAAACGGACATAGCCTCTCTGCACTACTC